GAGGGGGAAATAGGAGAAAATTATTAACTTGCTTTTTCAACCAAAAAAATTTGTCATCATAAAAAAAGTAAAGATTATTAAAATTTAGGATCCCTAGCTTGTGATTTTTATGATAATAAAAATTATTGATTGAAATTTTATTTTTTCTAGCATATATATTGGATTTTTTTTATTTTTGTGTATTACCATTTCAAGATTGTTTAAGGCCAGAATAGGATGTAGTACATCATACATTGCTCAAGATTGTTTAAGGCCCATGTCTTTCAAAAGACTGTACTTTTCATTTTTCATTATTTTATATTTCTTAATTCTGGTCATACAAGGAAGTATGCTAAATTCACGAATGTGCACTCACACATAAGGGTGTGAGAAAAGTGAGCTGAGATTTTTTGAACTAATTGTATCGTACAATTACAATCATATTTTATTACTAGTAATACAAAAAAGAGGATTAAAGCTTAATTAATTATGTAATTAATGCTAATGAACTAATTATATTGTATAATGAAGATCGTACTGTACGATTTTTTTCTCCATCAGGAAACCTTAGCACCAAGATAATTTAACTAAGTATTTTAAAAATTAAGTTTTGAACTAATCATATTGTATGATCTTAATTATATTTTATAATATTTGAAATTTTGCTTAAATTATTCCTCATGATTAGTCCATTATATCAATGCTTAATAAATATGTTTAACTATACTATATCATGTAGATCATATCGTATGATTGATAGAGTCAAAAATTCTGTCAAATTGGATATCATACTAAATGAAATTCTTGATTTTTAAACTAATCATATAGTACGATATTGGTTGTACTGTATAAACCCTTTATATTTGAATTGAATATATTATATGATGTTAATCATACTTGAAGATTGATAGAGATAATTTACAATCATCCTAGTAAACATCCTATAAGAATATAAGAAAATTGAACTAATCATACCATACAATTATAATTAACCTGTGGAAGAGGTTAATTATAAGGGCTTCTTTATCTTATTGTGGGAGCTAAAAGAGAGTCACTTTGATATAGTATAATACCTAAAGAGGGAGTCTTCAGGGAGTGAATGTAGGTTTAGTTGGACCGAACCACTATAAAGTTTTGTATTTTTCATTCTTTACTTTTTTACTACATTTTTATTTTGTACAAGTTTTAATTTTGTGGTTGAAAAATATTTTTTTAAAAATTTATCATTATGATTAAAAAATCTAAAATTTCTAAGAATTTTTTTTAAATTACCAGTTCCCCCCCCCCCCTCCCCCTCTTGGTTAGCCTTGGGACAATTACTTTTAGTCTAACAACCTATTCAAATGAACAATATAAAAAAGAGGAATAATGAGAGAGAGAAGCTCCTGGGTATTAGAGAGAGAAAATTCAAAAATTATATGAATTCTTGATTCCCGATTTTTATTCTTTTCGATCAGGATTTGTCAAATTGATGGCGGTGGATGGACGCTGGCCATCTTTGGCTACGGCGGCTGGTAGTATGGTTGGTGTAGATTCTTTTAATCAAGAACTGTGCGGGGTTAATCTTAAGAAGTCTGGTGGAATTCTTGCTTCTAGACGTTTAAATGGGCCTTTGCTGATCAAGGAGGATGTTGTGGATTCGTCGATGAAAGTTTTATTCATTGATGGTAAAGGAAATTTGATTATTGAAGATGGAGGGATGGTATCCCCTCAGTTAGTCAGAAAGATTTCCGATCAAAATTCTTTTGATCCGGTGGCGACATCTTCTGAAATGACTATTTTTGTTAACATGTATGGTAATTCAAATGCAATCTCTGGACTTGTCCATGGGATAAATGGGAATGCTTGAAATTCTGTTAACAAAACCGTCCATTTCTTGGCAAGGGATGATTCAGTTGTTACAGATACGGCGGACAAGGTTAGTGAGGTAATGCATGTTAAAATATTGGCTGAGATGGAGGAAAATCCATGGAAAAGAAAGCCTTACATAATGCTGGATTTTAAGGAGGAGGACATGGTCTTCTCGGAAGATGGTAAGGCTGTGAAATTGAAAGAAGAAATGGAGGTTTCAAATTCTAATAAGCTCAGGAATTCCTTGGTAATTAAAGTTTTTGGAAAGGAGGTTCCCCCACATGTAGTAGCTTGGGAAATGAGAAGACAGTGGAAACTTTTTGGAAAGTTTCATTTTACAACACTAGGGAAGGGCTGCTTTTTTTGTTCCTTTGAGTCGACTGAGATGATGGAAGGTGTCCTGTCAGGAGGGCCTTGGTTTGTCAATGGCCACATTGTGGGGATGGAGAAGTGGTCGTTAGAATTTTCCACTCTTTCTCTGAAGGGTTTAACCTCTCCTATTTAGATTAGAATGCCTCACTTACCCTTGCAATGTTGGGATGAAGTGAATGTTGCTCGTATTGCTTCATCGGTTAGAAAACCTATGATGATGGATGGTAATATGTTTTAGTGGGGGAAAAGAGAATTTGCTAGAATCTGTGTGAGAGTTAAGTTGGATCAACGTCTTCCTGTAGGAGTATGGGTTGAAAGTATCTCAGGAAGGTTTTTTCAAAGATTGGAGTATGAGAAAATCTCGGCTTTTTGTTATGAATGTGGAATGGTGGGACACCTGGAATCTGATTGCAAAGTAAAGAATTCTGAAACTTCTGCCAGGATTATGGACGTAGGGGAGCCAAGGGGAGATAAGAAGGTGGAAAAGGTTTAGGAGGAAGTTATTGATCCCTCTTATGGTCCTTGGATCATGGTGAAAAAGAAAATTAATAGAAGACCGGTTGTGTAGAAAGATAAATCGAAATTTGTGAAAAAAATAGTGGAAGAGAACGAATGAAATTTAGGGTGATGTTGCTGGAAAAGGAAATCAAAGGGTTGATGATAATTCTAAGGTGGAAACAACTGTTACAATTGATCTCTTGGAGGAAGGGGAGATACCTGGAGAAGAGGAGGTGACCAATTCTGGAAGAAATTCTATTTGTAAGGCTAATTCTGCTGTGGAGATTATTGCTTCTACGGAGGCTGCTTCTTCTAATGATGGTAAGATTTCTGGTATTGATACTCCATGTATTCCAATAAATTTGAATAAATTTGATGTGTTGGATGGGATGGAAGATGATGGAACTAGAGATGCTTGCAATAATTCCATTACTGTTATATGTGGTAAATATGACAAAGATGTGGATCCTACTATGGTTGAGAATCTAGACGGTGTTGGTAGTATTAAAGGCTATGATGGGAGGCTGTGTGATGTGGGAAATGAGAAGGAGATTGCTTCAAATGGGGAATTGGTGAAATGCAAGCTGGCTAAAGAGCTTAAGTCCTTAGGTCCTATAAAAATCAATTCTAGAGGCAGAGTTTTGGATGGAGGTATTAAGAAAAAAGTTGGGGGCTCTCCCCCCAAACGTTTTTAATGGAATCAATTGTATTTTGGAATTCTAGAGGGGCCAAAAAGAGGGAGGTCTCTCTTTTTTTGAAGGAAACTATAAAATACTACAAGGTGTTCTTTGTAGGGCTGATTGAAACTAAAATTTCCTCTTTGGACAAAGAATTGTTTGTAAGGATGATGGGTCTTGGTTGGGATTACTTCCTTCTTCGCTCTGAAGGACTTTCTGGTTGAATCATGGTTTTATGGAGATCGGATATGGCTTCTTTTTTAGTTTTAAAAACCTCTGATCAATGTGTAATAGGTGGTCTTAATGTCTTCAATAGAGGGGAGTGGATGATTTCCACGGTTTATGCTAGCAAGGAGGCCCTTAAGAGAAGATTTCTTTGGGAGTATGTTCAGGAATTATCTCATAGTAAATTTCCTTCTATTGTCGGAGGAGATTTTAATTGCATTTTGGCTCAAGAAGATAAGAAGGGTGGTAGAAGGTTTAAATTCTCTCAAGGCTCTTTGGATATGGTGAATTTTATGAATGATAATGACTATCATGAAGTTGGGTTCATTGATCCAAGATTCACTTGGTGTAATAACAAAAGTGTAGGGGGTCGGATTATGGAAAGACTTGACAGGTGTATTTTAAATACCTTGGCCATCAACAGAATCCAAATTACTTTGGTAAGACACCTAGCCAGAGTTTCTTCGGACCACAGTCCAATTGTTTTGAAGATTTTTGAGTCAGTTTTTAAAAGAAGAAGTGGCATTAAGTTTGAAGATACTTGGTTGTCCTTTAAGACTGCTGAACACATTGTTTCTAGTAGGTGGAGGAAACCCTTTCTGGGGGATGACATGGAAGTTCTTAATAAAAAATGCAAAAGAACTTTGAAGGATTTGTTTTATTGGAGCAAGGCTAGATTGAAGGACTTCTCTTTGGAGAAAGATAAGTTGAAAGCTGAAATTCTCAATTTGCAAGAAGAAGAAGAGAGAGAAGGGTGGCTGAGTGAAGACAAGCTTTGGTCACTTAAATCTAAAGTCAAAGAACTTAATGTCATACTTCATAATTTGAACACCTAGTGGAAGCAAAGAGCAAAGGCTAAGTGGATTAATGAGGGTGATGCTAATACCAAATTCTTTCACTCTTTCGCCAATTCAAGGAGGAATTTTAACTGGATTTCTCAAGTAAAAGATTCTAATGGGGTGTTGACTGATGATCCGAAAGAGGTAGAAGAGGTGTTTTATAAGTTCTTTCAGAGTAAATGGAAGTCCAGAAATTGCTATTTTTCTGGTTGGCCTAAGCCGAGATTGGTTCTGCAAGATAGTGATAAGTTTTTGCTAGAAAATGAATTGTCTGAAGCCGAGATAAAGGAGGTTATTTTGAACCTGGGCAGCAACAAGGCTCTGGGCTTTGATGGAATCACCTATTCCTTTTTCAAAGCGTTTTGGAGTATCATTAAGGAGGATGTAGTTAGAGCTGTGTAGCAGTTTTATCTCACTAGTTCTATATGCAAGGGTTGAAAAGACACCTTGGTTGTGCTCATTTCCCAAATGTTCTAATCCCAGTGTGCCTTCTTCTTACTGTCCCATCAGCCTTTGCAATTCAATTTATAAAATTGTAGCTAATGTATTGCTTAATAGAATGTTGGGAGTCATTCCAAGGATTATTTCTGAAGAACAGGCAGCTTTTGTGAGGGGACGATCAATCTTCGACCATCTTCTCTTGGCTCAGGAGGTTTTTCACAAATTAAGGTTTTCCAAAGCTTGTAATGGGTTCTTAGCAATCAAAGTGGACATGGAGCAACCATATGATAGCATATGTTGGTCTACTTTGAAGAAGATGATGGCAGAGTTGGGTTTCCCTACTAGGTTTATCAAATTGGTGATGGAATGTATCCTAGATCCCAGATATTCTATTTTGATTAATGGTTCTAATTCTAATTGGATTGAGGGAAAGAGTGGCTTTCTTCAAGGACACCCTCTATCACCATTTCTTTTTATCTTATGTTCCCAACTTCTTTCTAACGCTTTCCATAGCAGGGGTGCGGATGTGGGTATTAGAATTTCATCTAATTCCCAGAAGATTTCCCATCTTCTTTTTGCAGATGATATTCTGTTGTTTATGGAAGCTAAGGTGAATAGTATGAAGAAGGTTAAAGAAATCCTGGAGAGTTATTGTCAGTGGACGGGCCAAAATATCAGCTATCACAAATCTTCATTTGTTTGTGGGAGTTCAGTGGAAAGAAGGAGGAAAGTGCAGATTTCCAGATTTATGGAAATTAGATTAGTAGAAGAATTTGAGTATTTGGGTATCAAATTGGCATTGAGATGTTTAAGGAAGGTGGACTTCCAGGTTTTATTGGATAAATCTAGTAAAAAAATTAATGCTTGGGGAAATAGATATATCTCTTTAGCTGGTAGACTGGTTTTGGTTAAATCAGTTTATCTCTCCCTTCCTGTTTTTGTCATGACTCACTCTCTTATTCCTTTGAAGACCTTGATGGAATTTGAGAAGCTATGTAGAGACTTTATCTGGAATAAATGTGATGGCAAAAGAGGTATTCATTATGTGGCTTGAAAGCACTTATGTAAACCAAAATAGTTTGGAGGTTGGAATGTTCATTCAGCTTTAACTAGGAGGAATGCTATGAGAGCCAAATTTGCATGGAAGATGATTGATAAGCTAGATTCTTTTTGAGTAAGCATCTATTTGCTAAGTATGGAGTTAACTGGTGGAATTATGGGTTGTATAAAAGTAGTTCATCAACTTGGAAGATTATGTTTTCTGGATGGAATGCACTTAGGAATCATGTTAGATGGAAAATTAGATATGGATCCAAGATTAAAGTGTTGAAGGACATTTGGATTTTGGATAAATCTTTACTCAATTGGCCAACGTTTGTAGGTTCTCTGGAGGATGACAACACTACCTTGGATTTCTTCATTTTTGAAGGAAGCTGGGACCGTGAGAAGCTGAGTCTGGTTTTCGGAACAAATTTACTGAATCTTATTTGTAAAGTCCAGATTTTTCCAAATATGGAGGAGGATTGTATGGAGTTAAAGTATAATACGTCAGGGAAGTCTATCTTTGCTTTAGTTATGGAGGATAGCTATAACTATAGGGATGATATTGTTCAAATCAATTGGGTTTACAAACTGAAAATGAATGCAAAGCTAGAAGTCTTTATTTGGCGTTTGTTCTTGGATGCTCTCCCTACAGGTGCTTTTCTTTTCAGAAGAAAACTTTCTGATGTTCTTGTTTGTCCGCTGGGGTGTGATGGAGTGGAAGATATCAACCATATTTCATCCAGCTGCTGCAAGCTACGGAAGTGTTGGATGTTCTGAGAGGATGGTGATTTAAGTTACCTAAATTCAATGGCTGGAATGACTGCTTGGCTGGTTTATGGAAACTGAAAGATTGTAATGTGATGGTGGTTAAATTGTATTTTACTATTATTTGGTTTGTCTGGAATCACAGAAACAGGATTAAGCATGGGAAACTTGAAGAAAGCAATTTGTTTATTGCTATTTCTGTTCTCAGTTTTATCAGCAAAGATAATCTGCACTATGTTCAATCAGATAACTGAGTTGTTAATCAGTCCCATGGACTATTTTATGATAGATGGAAACCTCCTCCTCCCGATTAGATTAAAATTAATCTTGATGCTTCTCTTAAAGAAAATTATGAGGCCGGTATTGGTGGCATTGTTAGGGATTGTAAAGGAAGGTTTCTTTTAGCTTTTGGGTTGGGTAAAACACATTGGGACATTGCCCAATTGGAGTATTCTACCTTTTTTGCACTTAAAGAAGTTTTACATGGTAGATTTGAAGATGTTAGAGGCATTATTGTGGAAGATGACAATAAAAATGTTCTTAATATTCTTCATAATATGCACAGTTATACCAAAGGATATTGATAGTAGCATGGGTTATGAAGATTCTTCTTTTTTTAGTAAGGCCAATAATGTGATTTTTCATTGGGTTAGTCGTAATTGTAATAAGTTAGCGGACAATTGTGCTAACTTAGGTTTTCTTGTGATTTTCTTTGGGATTTGTATTATGAGAGTGAACTTCCTTCTTCCTTTTGTAGTTTATTAAAGGAGGAATGTGATAGTTTTTATCACTCTTAGTAGCTTGTATCTAGGTGTCTTTTTCCTTTCTATGCAATATTAGCATTCTTCAAAAAAAAAAAAAAAAACCTATTCAAACTTTCAAGTGATATTAGAGCCTACTTTTGAAATTAAGATTTATACAACTTTTTGAAAATGATCATGGTTACTTTTGGAAATCGTAACACACCAGAAGGATATCGATCACTAGACTACCATTATTTGATAATGTCCCTTTTTGACTTTTGAGAAATATGTATATCTGCTTTTATTCAATTGTTTGACTATTACATGTGGATTTTAGTATAGGAAAGCTACACTATACCAACTAGACTTGTAGATGGCATTATAATTGAAACACCTTTTACTGATCGGACTGTAGATGAAAAATAATTAGCCTAGTTGAATACTAAATGTTTAAACATCTTTTTATATGCACGTAAGTATGAAGACTATACGTGTGTCTCAACTTGTAGAATTCGAAAAGAAATTTGGGATAGGCTTTGCATTACATTTTTTTTTTTTTTTTTTTGAAAATTGCAATAGCATTTAACAAACAAAAAACTAGGTATAAACTAAAGTAAATGTTCACATTCCCTCTTCAAAGAGAACTAAGAGAAAGAGGAATGTTAGCAAAAGAAGAACTATCAAACAAAAATTGTTACCTAAAGCCAAAGTAGCGCACATATCGGCTACTCTATTACCATTTCTATGAATATGATTGAAAATTACCTTATTGAAATCGGCCAATAATACAAGATTCTACTCTATCCGGTTGTAGCTTTGCCACTTAGCCTTATTCAAAGAATTTTGAATGAATTTGATAACATTGAGGTTATCACCTTCGATTATGAGTCCTTTGCAATCAAGCATCCACGGTTGAATGAATCTTCTAATTGACATCACAACATCTAGTTCAATATTAGCTATATCCCAATGCATTCTTTTTTCACCAAAAGCAATCAATAATCTCCCTTTTTCGTCTCTAAAGCAACCTCCAATTCCAGCATTATACGACGTAAGAGAGACGCATCAACATTAATCTTAATCCATCCCAGCGATGGAGGGTGCCAAACATTTTGAAACTCCCTAGGGAGATTAGCACCCCAGCTAGCAATGAGAGGATTAGAGGTTAAGAAAGTTGTGGACATAACACTTGCTGTAGACACTGAGATAGAATTTGCGGTTTTACCATGAGCCACTTCATTTCTATTTTTCCAATTTAGATACACTGAATTGCAATATATAATGACTATATTAGGTGCAAAATTAGAAAGACTTCTCAGCTCACTTAGACAATCATCCAGAGAATAAAAAATAGGAACGTAAAAACCCCAATCTTGGATTTTACTCAAAACATCCTACAGATTTTTACAATTAACAGCAATGTGTGACAGATTTTCAACTTCTTGGCAACCTCTATCACATAAATCATCATTTGTAATCTTCCTATACTTCAAGAATTCATTTGTTGGAATTGTAAATCTACTCAACCTCCACCAAAACAACTTAACCCGAGCTGTAAGTTTCAATTTTTTTAACCAGGTTGAGAATCCCATGTCCACTTCACTCTTGTTACTGGTGCTGCAAGCTTCATAACCACAAGCTGTAATTGATTTGCTTGATAAAGAACAAATCTCCTCCAAGTAATCCTCAGGAGCTTCTGGATTTGCATTGCATATAAATGAACTAATGAGGTGAATAATCTAGATTGAACATTCTACTACACGATTATAAACTATTTTGCATGAAAACAAATGAATTAATCATTGACATGTATATTTGTTTCACATAAATAGTCACCTCATTTTATGCTTTAGGTAGGGAACTAATAAATTTTAAAAAAGTAAATAAAAGTCTTCATTATTTTCCTACTGCTTATAATGCAAAGATAATTGCTATGACAGAATAAAAAGACTTAAATATTTATTCTATTAATAATCTTCTTGGATTACTAATTGCTTACGAGCAAAGAGTTACTCAAAGATAGATCGATGCATGTGACAAGTGGAAGGAGAAAAACATTATGTTGAAAGTGGAAGACTCAGATAGTGATCAGTCTCAGCCTGAGGATGAAGATGATATTACCTTAATGACAACGCAATTTAAAAGTTTCCTTAAAAATAAGCAAAGGAGTTGTCAGCAGTGGAATAAGGGTAAGTTTCACAAAAATGCTAAAGTTTTTAATGATATAATTTGCTATGAATGTTGGAAGCCTGGACATATCAAATCTAATTGCCTAAATCTCAAAGTTAATCCTAGCAAGGAGAAGATTGAGAAGAAAACTAATATTAGGAAGGGTAAGAAGAAACTGTAGAGAGAATTATATGCAGACTAAGTTTCAAATTCCTCAAAAACAAAAGCAGAGGAAGAAGTCACAAACTTGTGTTTAATGGCCAACAAGCATGATTAGTTAGATCAATAGGATGTATTTGACTTAACCTACAAAGAGTTATTTAAAGTTTCTGAGAATATTATTGTTTTAAACTTTGTCTTCTCCTAACACTTTTTGGAAAAATTATTTTTGCTCTTGTGTGATCTAACATTTCAGGATAATTGAACTCTAAACTAATGAAGACTTCAAATCAAAATTCAGCATGAGATAGTTTGCAAATTGAAGTTTGTAATTTTATTGTAATTGAGTTTTAGAAAATATGATTTTAATTGAATAAGCTTAGCGCGCACACACTTGGGGAGATCTTTAAAAATCACACTGATCGTAAGGGATGAACCTTGTTCGTACGGGACGATCAAGTCAGTTATCCCCTCGGAAGAGAAATGGAATGAACAGGAAGTGAGAATTTTTTTTTCTAAGTCCTGATCATCGACAAGAATTTCTTAAATCGTCCCGGGACTATCTGCTCTGGTCTCTCACTTTGTACTGAATAGTCCAGATGATTCATCCTGTTCATCCCAGGATGAAATGCTTTCTAGAAAATTTTCATCCAGACGAGCTCGTATTAGTCCCAAGATGAAATGCTCTCTAGAAAATTTTCATCCAGATGAAATACTATTCATCCTAGGACAAAATGCTCTCTGGAAATTTTTTGTCCAGACGAGCTCCTATTAGTTCCAGGACAAAATGCTCTCTAGAAAATTTTCGTCCAAACGAATTCCCATTCGTCCTTGGATGAAATGCTCTGCCTTTTGAAATTTTGGTAATGTCCTGCAGTTTGTTGAAACCAACCAATGAAATAACTATTCATACCGGACGAACATAGTTCGTACGGGATGATGATCGGGTATGAAGTCAGTTTGAACCTATATACATTGGGTTCATATGCAACTGATTTAAGTAGATTCATACGAGACGATCTGACAATCATACGGGACGATCCACTTTGTACAGACTTGAAAATCAGCAGTCTTTGGACGATTTTTCATGTCTTTCTTATATAAAGTCCAAATAAAAATGTCTCTTAATCTTTTTTGCATACTGATATTCATGCCAATTAAAGGGAGAGTCAAAGAGAGAGTATGAGAGAGTGTTTGAAGGAGGATTCTTACTACTGGAGCGTGAAGGATTCACTTGGTACTCAAAGGTAAGAGTCTCCACTTATGATTTGTGATTACTTCATTCTTTTCTCTCGTCTATCTAGATTTCTTGTGAGAAGATCTGTCAAGGATATCCTGTTCTCTACCGACACTTGGAGAGTGTAAACAGACGAAGGGTTCTCTGCCCACACTTGGAGAGTGTGAAAGGATGAAGGGTTCTCTGCCTACACCGGGAGAGTGTGAAAGGACGGACAGTTCTCGGCCAACACTTGGAGAGTGTAACAGGACGACGATTTTCTGCCGCACCGGGTAGTGGTGGAAGAGAGTTTTTGTAAAGGAATCTCCGCCTTGTTGTGGGTGCAAAAGGAGAGTCACTGGTGGTATTAGTGCAATACTCAAAGGGTGCCTCCGGAGAGTAGATATAGGTAATGTTTGACCGAATCACTATAAAACTTATGTCTTTTATTTTTTCCGCTACTTTTGTTTTTTAATGTTTTAACTTGTGGTTGAAAAATGTTTTTTATAAAATTCACTAAAGTTTTTTTTTTTATATAAGATTTTTTTTAAAAAAGGGATAAATTTTTAATTACGAATTCACCGCACCTCCCCCTTCTTGGTTAGCCGTTGGGACATAAGCTAAGGTTTAACAACCTAATTCATATTAAATAAGTTTAAATAAGTGATATCAAAGCTTTATTTCAAAATCATAAGTTTAGACTACTTTTTTATTAACGTAGATGGCTGCGTTTGGAAACCTAAATACACATGAGGGTTACTCTATAACTAGACATCCATTGTTCTATAATATTCCTTATAATTTTTGGAAAACATGCATGCCTATATTTTTTCAGTCACTTGATTACCGTATGTGGATCTTAGTTCAGGAAGGGTATACAAAACTAACTAGACTAGTTGACGGAGTTAGAGTTGAAACACCTTTTATGGACTGGACAGTAGAAGAACATGACTTTGCACAACTAAAC